CTACATGGGATATTCTGTTAGCTCTGCATATGGCTCTAGCTCTGAATGACATCTTCAATTTACCTCTCCGTCATGGAGGCTAGCGCACTTTCCGGAACTGAGGTATCAGAACGAGATTTCTACTTAGATCTACGGATTCAAACAATTGATGTGAGGCAATCCCTTGAAATATTTGCAATTATTGTTTCCTGTTGGATTCAAAGATTTGAAAGTAAATTAAGAAACACGTACTCAACTTCACAAATCTGCATACTAGCTTTGAAAAATCTAACCTTATATAGCCCTTTAAGTTTATATAATCGGAAAAAGATGCTTGCAATATTATCATAATTTTTAGAAATTTGGCTGCATGCATATGCTATAGGTATGGTTTCAGAGCATATTTTAATATCCTTCCTGGATCAGAGTGGTCTGCATTGATGCTTACTGTGACACCGCACCCGAACGTCCTTGAAAATTCGATTTAAAAATTCCAAAGTGATGTATTGAATTTCCGATTTCAAAACAATGGAAGAAACGATTAATATTTTACGAAGTATATGATTGAATATTGTATTGTTCAAACCCGCATTCGTTTGTAATTTTCATAATGTAAATTATTGGGATGAGCCTACACATATTGGAGATCAATAATGTGATTTAGGAAGTTGACTTGTTCTAAATAAATTAGGATGAGTACAAAAAGACATCTTTTGACAAAGATAAAACAATAGGACCCATTTTCCCCATTTTTGGAAGTATTGGTAGATAATTTGGATCCCAAATTAATTGGGATCAATTGGGAACCACTCCACATGATTAGAGTACCTACAACACAAGAAAATTAAGTGAGGAGACTTACCTTGGCCGCACCAGCTGGAGGAGGGCTGCACAAGACTTGATTGGAATCAACCTTGAGACCCACCTTGTCAATTTCCGCACAAAATGGTGTGCTGTTTGTCTCCACTCATTATGGGAGTTATACTCGACCAAACAACGTGTATAAGGTGTCTTTGGATAGCTTTTGAAGTCTATTTTCATATTTGAGTGGCCACAGTTCGAGAGGAGAAGTCAATCATCCAAAAATCGATCTGGAACGAGCAGAGGTCTGTGAACTCGAGCTGTGAGAGTGCTGAGACTGTTTGGCCGATATCTCGAGTTTTACCAATCCAATTAAGGCGTGTGAGATACCAAAAGAAAGCTCTCAAGACGAGGAATCCGTGAAGGTCTGGTTTGCATCAATCGGAGTAGAGGAAGGCTTCCAAATCGTCCGAGCAGAACGAGACCTCGCAGGGACGGATTTACTCTTCTAAGTGAGTTGTTAATCCCAAAACCTTTCCATTCATTTTCCAAATGATATGAACGATTGGTGGGACTATTATACACTACTCCAAGTGTATAAAACATCCCTATTAAGTTATTTTATTGATGTAAAGGTTAGATACTAACCTAGATGCAAACATTGGAAAACTAGGAATCGAGTTAGCCGGAAAACACCCGTTCTAGGGGCTGTTTTAGTATCAACGATTCGGGGTTGAAATAGCAACTTGAGGAGGCTGTTTAGCACCCATTTTCAAGCAAGGAACTAGTTCCCAATCTTCCTTGGCCGAGGCTTTAGCCATTGGATCGAGAAGGAAGGTTTTAAAGCTCATTTGAGGTGAGGATCGACATCTAGTTGCTTACAACTTGTAGGTTAAGCATGAGATTACCTAAATGCTTAAATAATGTTTTCCATGGATTATGATGATAACCTATTGATGGAATATTGATCTATTTTCCAAAGAATGAAATAAGAAATGATTTGGTAAAGTATTGATGAAAATGGAGTTAAATGAACTATTGTGTGAAATAGGCATTTTACTCATGTGTGAATTGTGTAGATACATAAATGATTATTTATGTATTACATTGAATGATTAAGTTGCTGCTACATATCTCTAAATATGTAGGGTTTTACAAATGGAATATATGATTGATAAGAATAATCTTAATAGTATTGAAATACTAGTTAATGATTGTTGAAATTGTTGAAGAATTGAATCTAAGGATTTGATTGTAATTGATGAACTTGATTGTGATGCAAGTGACTAAATTGATGTAATGTGATGCTAAGACCATGGTTGGGCAGTCCGTAGGGATGTCCCAAGATAGATTATTGATATTACAATTCTAGGCCTAGTGAGTGCTTAGGAATTGGGGTCTATGCCAATGTAAGGAGATGTACTTGAGCCCGTGCTCATAGAATTGCATTGGGTAGACATGATGAGGTGATTGTGTGCATGGGGATGTAGTCGAGTTGGACTCGAGAATGCACGGTGGAGTAGTTAGCTTATGTTAATAAAGGTGCATGGTGATGTAGTCGAGTTGGACTCGAGAATGCAAACATATGTGTTAGGGTTGGACCCTATGTATTGTTGTGACTAGGGGTCACGGGATTTTGGAGTATGTTTGATAAACAAACCTTGGGCCTACGGGCCGACTACTTGACTTTATATATAAAGTAAGTATATTTTAAAACGGGGTAACTTGGGGTTACGGCCTAGATTATATTATCACCCTATTTGAGGGTCTTGTGTTTGAAATACTTGTTGTATATCTATTAGATGCCATCCACACCAGCACTTTATAGCCGTATAGAGTGCTGACCCCTTCGGGGGCGTCCCACCACCATTTTTCAGGTTGAGGCTAGAGCTTGCTTCCTGTGCTCGTTGCTCGAGGGATCATCTAGGAGGGAAGACTTGGTTCGTGCTTCCTCCATTCAGTTTTAAACATTAATAAACATGCTCATGGATATTTACTTTAGAGCCTGCGTGCTCATGTTAGCCACGTGTGGCATTTGTTTTCAAACTATGTTTTCCGCTATGTATTCGATTACTTATTATGTTTGTTTATGGATGGCTTACGTGTGAATGATATTCGGGACGCCTTGTATAATATGAATGTGTTGGACTGCGGTTGACTATTCGTATTGTACGGCGGGTTGTTGGCGTGTCCGGGGAGGTCCGGGGCGTGACAATTAAGTTGGTATCAGAGCCTTAGTCCATAAACTTCATAATGAAGTCTCAAAATTCTCTTTTTGAAAAAGATTTTGAAAACCATGAGCATAGGAGTTTTGTACTTGGAGAGCTTTTGGTACTTGGGTTGCAAGGTCTCTAATTGTTAAGATGGTACCCTTAGCAATTGGTATGGCGGTGACTCGAGCCAAAATGTGTCTTAAGTACCTATCCGTCAATTGACATTTGATACGAGTCTAATGACTCTTTCCAAATTTCTTTCAGAAATGGACGGTGGTGGCAGGATTACTAGGAGAAACCCGACGGGCCGTGTACCAGTGGAGACTGGACAGGGCAGTCGAAGGACCTCTAGGGCGTCTAGGGGAGCTGGCCGTGGAGGCCGATCACAGACCGTGAGTGACGGTCATGTTGACACAGAAAGTGAAACCTACTGGTCCTATGAGGACTCAACTTACCAACCGGAGACCGAGCCGGTTGAGACCCCTTACGAAGGGGATGACGATGATATAAGTGATGAAGGAGGGGAGAATGACTCCCTAGCCAGAATCGAGGCGCTGCTCCAACAATATCAGCGGGAGCGCGAAGAAAGGAGGGAACGCCGAAGGCGCCGGGGAGGGCGAACTTTGGGTGGGGCTTCAAGAGGAAGAAGCCAAGGCGACTCTAGGGCCCACATTGAACCACATGGGGGCCGGGGTGATGGAGGTCCGATCATAAGGATCTCAAAATTTCTCAAAGAGGCGAGAGACTTGGGGTGCAAACCCTTCAACGGAGCAGGTGACATCTCGGTTGCCGCGGAATGGATCAAGAGGCTGAACGAAGCAGCCCTTGATATGCAACTCACCCCCGAGTTTAAGCTAAGGGTGGCGGTGAGGTTGCTTGAAGGGATGGCATCCACATGGTGGGACGGAGCCAAGGGAAAGTATGGCAACACGGTGACTTGGGAGAATTTCCGACAGGAGTTCTTTGCCCAATATTATTCTGATTTTGAGGTGAACGCCAAGAGGAGAGAGTATACCCTCCTGACCCAAGGGGGCAAAATGACGGTGAGGCAACTTGAACACAAATTCAGGGAGCTCGCGGAGTTCATACCGGAGTATGTGTGTGACGAGAACCGGATGGTAAATCACTTCTGGGATGCCTTAGACCTGGAGGTGCGTGAGAGGGCAACACAGTTGCCTAACATGACTTTTAGCCAAGTGGTCGAGCAAGGGTTAAAAGGAGAGAAAGAATGGGAGGAAAGAAAGTTGAAGAACGCCGAAGAGGCAAAGAAGAGGAAGTGGGAGAACCATGGGCATCAAGGTCCTAGCAAAAAGGGGAACCATGGGGGAGGGGGATCTTTTCGGACACCCCCACTGCCACCTAGGGGAAGTCATGGCCCGGGCGGGCAATCACAAGCCTCGGGGGTGACTCGTTGTAAGAATTGCAAGAGGAACCACCCGGGGAAATGTCGTGACCCTCCTAGATGCTACCAATGCGGGAGCACCGGTCACATGAAGATGAGCTGCCCACAACTGGGCGGGACGAGGGCATCAGGGCCAAGTAGTGGTAATACCGGGACACGGAATCAAGCCGGGACTTCACAAGCGTCCAGGGGGCAAGGGGGAGCAAGCGCAAGCAACGCGCCGTCCGTGAATCAAGGAAGGACTCAAGCTAGGGTCTACGCGATGACGGAGGCGGATGCTCAAGCTAACCCGGATTCCGTTGCAGGTATTGCCTCTCGTATACTAGTGTTTTATCCTTAATTAGTCCATAAATTGAAGTTATAAATCCTAGAATCCAGGTGGGAGCAGACGTAAGATTGAAATGGGAAAGGAGAGCAAAACCATGCTACTACCCGATCGGGTAGGGCAATAAACCCTACCGGGTGGGACGAGTTTTTGCCCTCGTAAACCTTCTGGATCGCATACCCGATCGGGTTTGGTAATGAACCCGACCGGGTAGGACAAGTTTTTGCACTCATAAGTCCACTGGAACACATACCCGACCGGGTATGGTGGTATACCCGACCGGGTTTGTCAAAAATTTCTGCCCGACACCTTCTGGAACACATACCCGACCGGGTATGGTGGTATACCCGACCGGGTTTGTCAAAAATATCTTCCAGACACTTTCTGGAACACATACCCGACCGGGTATGGTGGTACACCCGACCGGGTTTGTCAAAAAAAAATTCTGCCCGAACCCACTGGAACTTATACCCGATCGGGTATAGTATGTTACCCGACCGGGTACACCTCGAAGTGTTCGTCAAATGAAAAAGTTGTCTTCATGAAAGTTGTAGATATTTTCATTGTCTAAATGATGGAATTTGAATCGAACGATTTGGTTAAGTATGTGAAGAGATATGATCAAAACGGTGAGACAGTGTCAATCTATATCCCAACTGCGAACGTCAACCATAATTGGGGGATTTTGCCCACTTTAAGGACATGATTTCGCATTATGTTCTTCGTAGGATTGGTCGGTATGTTAGAGAGGTATCTTACATGGTTTATAAATGTAGGAACACTAAAGATTAATGGGAGATGTGCGAGAATCCTCATCGATACCGGGGCGCAACGATCATTTGTGAGTGAGGCATTCGCCGGGGGATTCAACGCACCCCTGGTACCGATGGATCAAGCCCTATTGGTATCCACACCCCTAGGGGAAGACATCGAGAGAGATAGCCACTATCCATCGTGTGAGGTGGAAGTGGAGGGCCAAAACTTGTCGTGTGATTTCGTGCCGCTGAGTATGATTGAGTTCGATGCAATCCTGGGGATGGATTGGCTTGAGAAGCATCATGCTAGGGTCGATTGTTACACGAAAGTACTTGAACTCGAAGGCAATGAAGGGGTAACCTTACGCTTCGAGGGGGATAGGGCAAAATCCAATAGTTGTATCATATCCGCCGTGAGGGCTAAGAATATGATGAGGAAGGGGTGTCACGCATATCTAGCGTATGTGGTGGACAAAACCAAAGAAGATACGAGCATTGATGATGTTAGGGTAGTATGCAAGTATCGGGACGTCTTTCCTAAAGACTTACCGGGACTTCCACCCGATAGGGAGATTGAGTTCGTGATCGAGGTCGAGCCCGGCACCAAACCAATCTCCATACCGCCATACCGTATGGCACCCGCTGAACTTAACGAGTTGAAAACCCAATTGCAAGAGCTTTTGGATAACGGTTTCATTAGACCAAGCCACTCCCCGTGGGGAGCACCAGTTCTTTTTGTGAAAAAGAAAGATGGGACACTTCGAATGTGTATTGACTATCGTCAACTGAACAAGGTCACAATCAAGAATAGGTATCCTTTGCCTAGAATTGATGACTTGTTTGACCAACTACGAGGGGCAACCGTGTTTTCAAAGATCGATTTGAGGTCGGGTTACCATCAATTGAAGATTAAGGAAGACGACATACCAAAGAGTGCTTTCCGCACAAGGTATGGACATTTTGAGTTCCTTGTTATGTCGTTTGGGTTGACAAACGCCCCAGCGGCATTCATGGACTTGATGAACCGAGTATTCCATAAATACTTGGATCGATTCGTGATTGTGTTCATAGACGACATTTTGATTTACTCAAAGAGTGAGGAAGAGCATGAAGAGCACTTGATACTCGTTCTTGAGACACTACAGGAGAAGCAACTTTATGCCAAATTTTCTAAATGTGAATTTTGGCTAAAGGAAATTGGCTTTCTCGGGCATGTGGTTTCGGGATCGGGAATTGCTGTTGATAATAAGAAGATAGAGGCCATTACCGAATGGGAGAGACCAAGGAATGTCAAGGAGATTCGTAGTTTCCTTGGACTGGCAGGCTATTACAGAAAGTTCGTGGAAAAGTTCTCTGTTTTGGCGTCGCCGTTGACGAAGCTCACTCGAAAGGGAGCTAAGTTTATATGGGATGACAAATGTGAGAAAGGATTCATCGAACTAAAGAAGAGATTGACCGAGGCACCGGTACTTGCATTACCCAAACAGGGTGTGGGGTACGATGTCTATAGTGACGCGAGCATCCAAGGGTTTGGGTGTGTGTTGATGCAGGAAGGGAGGGTAATTGCCTATGCTTCACGACAGTTGAAGAAGCATGAGGTAAATTATCCTACCCATGATCTGGAGCTGGGAGCAGTGGTGTTTGCACTGAAGATATGGAGACATTATCTCTACGGGGAGACATGTCACATATACACTGATCACAAGAGCTTGAAGTACGTGTTTACTCAGAAAGAGCTAAACATGAGACAGAGACGGTGGATGGAGCTGATAAAAGACTACCATCTAGTGATAGAGTACCACCCAGGCAAGGCAAATGTGGTGGCAGATGCTTTGAGCCGGAAGAGCTCGTCTGGGGCATTGCTAGCTAATTTGAGGGCATTAAGAGCCCAACTGGAGGTATCCAGCGATGGTGCCTTATTGGCACGATTTGAGGTGAGACCTACTTTACTTGATGAGATCAAGAAGGGTCAGGAAACCGACGAAGAAATTATGAAGATCCGGGAACGCATGCAAGCGGGACCGGTGGAGGACTTCAGAGAAAGAGATGACGGTCTCTTATTATTTCGTGACCGAGTGTGTGTACCGGCAGATGAGGAGCTCCGAAAGTCCATCTTAGAGGAGGCTCATTCATCGGCGTATGCCATGCACCCGGGGGGCACGAAAATGTACCGTGACTTGAAAGAAAGTTACTGGTGGTCTGGGATGAAGAGGGAAATAGCCGAATACATTAGTCGATGCCTTACTTGTCAACAAGTTAAGGCGGAACATCAGCATCCAGCAGGCTTATTGCAGCCACTTTCCATTCCTGAATGGAAGTGGGAACACGTGACTATGGATTTCGTGGTAGGTTTACCACGGACAATCAGGAACTATGATGCAGTTTGGGTCGTTGTGGATAGGCTCACAAAGAGTGCACACTTCTTGCCTATCAACACTACCTACCCACTTGAGAGGTTAGCCAAATTGTATACGGATGAGATCGTGAGGCTGCATGGGGTCCCAGTGACCATTGTATCCGATAGAGACCCACGATTCACATCACGTTTTTGGCCGAAATTTCAGGAGTCTATGGGAACGAGGTTGAAGTTCAGTACTGCTTTCCACCCACAGACGGATGGACAGTCTGAAAGAGTCATACAGATCTTGGAAGACATGTTGAGGGCTTGTGCATTGGAGTTCCAAGGAAGTTGGGACAACCACTTAGCACTTGTGGAGTTTGCCTATAACAACAGTTATCAGGCAAGCATCGGCATGCCTCCATACGAGGCATTGTATGGGAGAAGGTGTCGTACACCGTTATGCTGGGACGAGGTTGGCATGGCCAAACTCGAGGGTACTGAGTTGGTTGAGGTCACCAAATCAAAGGTGAAGTTGATTCGAGAGAGACTCAAGGCGGCTCAGGATAGACAAAAGAGTTATGCAGATAAGCGTCGAAGAACCTTAGAGTTTAAGGTTGATGACGAGGTATTCTTGAAAGTTTCTCCTTGGAAAGGGATCATTCGGTTCCAAACCCGAGGAAAACTTAACCCACGATATATAGGTCCATTCAGAATTATAGAGAGGATTGGGGCCGTTGCATATCGTCTACAGTTGACTCCTGAGTTAGAGAAGATACATAATGTGTTTCATGTATCCATGCTTAAGAAGTATGTGCACGATCCCTCTCACGTATTGGAGAAGCCACCTGTAGAGGTACGTGAGGATTTGAACTACGCTGTTCAACCTATCAAGGTCACCGATAGAAAGGTGAAGAAGCTGAGGAGCAAAGAAGTCCCAATGGTTAAAGTCCTGTGGAAGAGCGATCGGGTCGAGGAAGAGACATGGGAAACAGAGGCTTTGATGAGGAAGCAGTATGCTTTCTTATTCGAGTAGAGCTGTGAATTTCGGGGACGAAATTCCTGTTAAGGGGGGGTGAACTTGTGACACCGCACCCGAACGTCCTTGAAAATTCGATTTAAAAATTCCAAAGTGATGTATTGAATTTCCGATTTCAAAACAATGGAAGAAACGATTAATATTTTACGAAGTATATGATTGAATATTGTATTGTTCAAACCCGCATTCGTTTGTAATTTTCATAATGTAAATTATTGGGATGAGCCTACACATATTGGAGATCAATAATGTGATTTAGGAAGTTGACTTGTTCTAAATAAATTAGGATGAGTACAAAAAGACATCTTTTGACAAAGATAAAACAATAGGACCCATTTTCCCCATTTTTGGAAGTATTGGTAGATAATTTGGATCCCAAATTAATTGGGATCAATTGGGAACCACTCCACATGATTAGAGTACCTACAACACAAGAAAATTAAGTGAGGAGACTTACCTTGGCCGCACCAGCTGGAGGAGGGCTGCACAAGACTTGATTGGAATCAACCTTGAGACCCACCTTGTCAATTTCCGCACAAAATGGTGTGCTGTTTGTCTCCACTCATTATGGGAGTTATACTCGACCAAACAACGTGTATAAGGTGTCTTTGGATAGCTTTTGAAGTCTATTTTCATATTTGAGTGGCCACAGTTCGAGAGGAGAAGTCAATCATCCAAAAATCGATCTGGAACGAGCAGAGGTCTGTGAACTCGAGCTGTGAGAGTGCTGAGACTGTTTGGCCGATATCTCGAGTTTTACCAATCCAATTAAGGCGTGTGAGATACCAAAAGAAAGCTCTCAAGACGAGGAATCCGTGAAGGTCTGGTTTGCATCAATCGGAGTAGAGGAAGGCTTCCAAATCGTCCGAGCAGAACGAGACCTCGCAGGGACGGATTTACTCTTCTAAGTGAGTTGTTAATCCCAAAACCTTTCCATTCATTTTCCAAATGATATGAACGATTGGTGGGACTATTATACACTACTCCAAGTGTATAAAACATCCCTATTAAGTTATTTTATTGATGTAAAGGTTAGATACTAACCTAGATGCAAACATTGGAAAACTAGGAATCGAGTTAGCCGGAAAACACCCGTTCTAGGGGCTGTTTTAGTATCAACGATTCGGGGTTGAAATAGCAACTTGAGGAGGCTGTTTAGCACCCATTTTCAAGCAAGGAACTAGTTCCCAATCTTCCTTGGCCGAGGCTTTAGCCATTGGATCGAGAAGGAAGGTTTTAAAGCTCATTTGAGGTGAGGATCGACATCTAGTTGCTTACAACTTGTAGGTTAAGCATGAGATTACCTAAATGCTTAAATAATGTTTTCCATGGATTATGATGATAACCTATTGATGGAATATTGATCTATTTTCCAAAGAATGAAATAAGAAATGATTTGGTAAAGTATTGATGAAAATGGAGTTAAATGAACTATTGTGTGAAATAGGCATTTTACTCATGTGTGAATTGTGTAGATACATAAATGATTATTTATGTATTACATTGAATGATTAAGTTGCTGCTACATATCTCTAAATATGTAGGGTTTTACAAATGGAATATATGATTGATAAGAATAATCTTAATAGTATTGAAATACTAGTTAATGATTGTTGAAATTGTTGAAGAATTGAATCTAAGGATTTGATTGTAATTGATGAACTTGATTGTGATGCAAGTGACTAAATTGATGTAATGTGATGCTAAGACCATGGTTGGGCAGTCCGTAGGGATGTCCCAAGATAGATTATTGATATTACAATTCTAGGCCTAGTGAGTGCTTAGGAATTGGGGTCTATGCCAATGTAAGGAGATGTACTTGAGCCCGTGCTCATAGAATTGCATTGGGTAGACATGATGAGGTGATTGTGTGCATGGGGATGTAGTCGAGTTGGACTCGAGAATGCACGGTGGAGTAGTTAGCTTATGTTAATAAAGGTGCATGGTGATGTAGTCGAGTTGGACTCGAGAATGCAAACATATGTGTTAGGGTTGGACCCTATGTATTGTTGTGACTAGGGGTCACGGGATTTTGGAGTATGTTTGATAAACAAACCTTGGGCCTACGGGCCGACTACTTGACTTTATATATAAAGTAAGTATATTTTAAAACGGGGTAACTTGGGGTTACGGCCTAGATTATATTATCACCCTATTTGAGGGTCTTGTGTTTGAAATACTTGTTGTATATCTATTAGATGCCATCCACACCAGCACTTTATAGCCGTATAGAGTGCTGACCCCTTCGGGGGCGTCCCACCACCATTTTTCAGGTTGAGGCTAGAGCTTGCTTCCTGTGCTCGTTGCTCGAGGGATCATCTAGGAGGGAAGACTTGGTTCGTGCTTCCTCCATTCAGTTTTAAACATTAATAAACATGCTCATGGATATTTACTTTAGAGCCTGCGTGCTCATGTTAGCCACGTGTGGCATTTGTTTTCAAACTATGTTTTCCGCTATGTATTCGATTACTTATTATGTTTGTTTATGGATGGCTTACGTGTGAATGATATTCGGGACGCCTTGTATAATATGAATGTGTTGGACTGCGGTTGACTATTCGTATTGTACGGCGGGTTGTTGGCGTGTCCGGGGAGGTCCGGGGCGTGACACTTACATATGACTTTCATCTTGCCATGGCATGGCATTCAAGGTGATTTAAGCAAAAATTATCTTTTTGCTTTTTGCTGTCATAATTTAGTTAAATTTTTTATTAATTTATTCTTCTTCTTTTTTCATACTTGCTGATCTAAAAGGGGTATGTGTATATATTGTCTTTCAAACATCTAATTTGATGTATAGTTGGATGATGCAATAGCACGATCACTATGGGGTTAAATTAAGTGAAGCATGTTAGATGTTTGTGAGTATGCCTTAATGAACTAGGAGCACAAGCATTACTTGCTTGGCCCAGTTTATTAAAGATAGCTAGTGTGGTTATTCATGAACATGATTAGAATGATACAGAGTATATAATGCCCAGATTTATGAATAAGTAAGTTTCACAAAATAGATAAGGAAAAAGATAAGAAAGAACTATATTCATTGTGAGCTTGTTGTCTAGTTGAAATATAATACGTAAATGTGAAAAAATAGATAAATCAAAAGTTAATAATTAAGTAACATGCTTAAATTAAGCAGATTGTGTTAGAAGCTTCACTTAAGATCATACCATGATAAATTATAAATTTGAATCTCCTATATAACTATACTAGCGGAGTACGCACTACGTGCGAATTATGCCCAACATTTCTAAGTATTAGGACCATTAACTCACAAAACTATAAGAGCAAGGCTTATTAGGACTCACCAATTGTACGTTG